TTTCTTTTGAAGGGGAAGTGATGTGTTGTGAGTGAGGACATATTTTACCTCCGAATACAGTAGGTTCCATATGCAACTGACAATTCCAACTGCCTTGCGGGGGCGGGGGGAGTTTGAGGTGTGGAACGGAGTGAAGTCCAATCAGCTTCCATATGCAAAAGACCTTGAAATGCTGGGCGGAACTGCACAAAGCAGCCAGTCAACCCAGCCAGCGTCTTCTGACTGACAGTTCTTGCGGCCAAACACTAAAGGTGTGCATTTGGAACGTTGGAGCCCACTACGGCTTTATATATAAGGGAGAGATATTCACTTTGGTTCATTGGTGAAATGCATTCTGGGGAAAAATACTAAATGCTGACAGGCAGTAACTGACTGACCTTGCTTATAGTGGCCAGTTGTAATTGTGCATGTCCCTGATTCAGCTCGCTTGCGTTAGATTAAGAACACTCCACTGTGTACCCATATCTGCTACATTAGATACTTTTAGAATTCCATAGCCTGGGAAGAAGAAGGCCCATTGTTCAACTGAAGGAGGTATATTTTTGCCTGGGAAAATCCAGCCCACAGATTGGTGCCCAATCAGAATGGTGTGACGGGTATGCCTCTAACATTCTAAAAAGTTTGCTGTTGCTGTTCTGAGGTAAAATGTGTTCTGAGGTAAAATACATTTCCCCTTAGTGCCTGTTGGGAGAAACCATTGTTCCCAATCTCCAGGTGAGGGCTGAAGATCACTCAGAATTACAACTGCTTTCCAGATGGCAGAGATCAGTTCCCCTGGAGAAAATGGTAGACTCTGTATTCTTATATGCTGCTGAGATGGCCCCCGTATGACAGCCAATGTGACGTAGCAGTCAGGGCTTCAGCTATTACAACTAATGACCAGATGACCCAGATCAGTTCTCCTGGAGACAATGGCTGCTTTGGGCAGTAGATTCTATGGCATTATACCCTGCTGAGGTCCCTCCCCAACCAAAATCCTGCCCTCCCCAGGCTCTACCCCTCAAATCTACAGGTATTTCCCAACCCAGAGTTGGCAACTGTGTAATCAGCGATGGTACCACTTTCCAGACCCTTGAAACCCAGAAAACACGGCACTGGAGGAGGTGCTTTTCTACCTTAGCTGTGACTGCATATCCCCAAATTAACATAAGCCATCCTCCAGGCGGCACCTGGAGATCTCCAGCTATTAAAACTGATGTCCAGATGACCAAGACCAGTTCTCTTGGGGACAATGGCTACTTTGGGCAGTGGGTTCTATAGCATTATACCCTGGTTGAGGTCCCTCCCCACCCCAAATCCTGGCCTCCCCAGGCTCTACCCCTCAAATCTACAGGTATTTCCCAACCCAGAGTTGGCAACCGTGTAATCGGCTATGGAACCACTTTCCAGACCCCTGGAACCCAGAAAACATGGCACAGGAGGAGGTGCTTTTCTACCTTAGCTGCCACTGCATAACACCCCCCTCCCCCTCAAAAAATAAGTCAGAGGTGGAGAGAACCATATCTGTTACCATGAGGCTGTCCTCCCATTCTACCCACTTGGGGCAGCAAAATGACTTGAGACAGCCCTGCCTTATAGCTAAGCAGAAGGAAAGAAACATGGCTTGCCTCCCTCCATTTTCTGCTTCCCTCTGCCGCCCCACCAGCCACAATCGGGACACTCATTTGGAGCTTCCTTCTAGATTCCGTTGTATTTCTTCCCACAACGGGCATTACTCCTAGCAAGCTATAATGGAAAATTGATCTGGGGGTATCTGGGGTTTTGAGGGGGCTGTTTTTTGAGGGAGTGGTGCTAAATTTGCAGCACAGCTGCTGGTGCCTCTCCTCAAAAAACTCCACAAGTTTCAAAACGATTGGACCAGGGGGTCCAATTCTATGGGCCCCAGAAGGAGGTGTCCCCATCCAACGAAGGGGAAAATGCTCCAGAGCTAAATTATCTGAGCAGCTAGCTAACTCAGCACCCCCTAGCGCAGCACCCCCTAGCGCAGCACCCCCTAGCGCAGCACCCCCTAGCGCAGCTCAGAGGGAACAGTGCTCATAAATCAAAAACAGTTCAGTGTTTTCAAACAAATCCATAAAATACAAAACCATTAAAATATTACCTCAATGGAATATGAAGATAAACAGTTCTTCCTCTACAGAACAGTCTGTCCAACCGAATTAATTTTAAGATGGAATAGTCCACTGGTCTTCCCAGCAACACAGCCTTTATTTGTTGTGTCAAGGCCATCTCCATCAAACCAATCTGCACCACCGCCCAGGAGTGAGCGGGGCAGACAATACACTGACTTAGCTGGTCAAGTTCCAGGACCAGCTAGTCAAGGTTGGGAAAGGAAAGAGCCTTGTGTCTTACCCCGTGCTGAACCACCGATTCGGGGAAACGTCGCAGAAGCAGCAGTAGCATTTCTGCTCGTTCGAGTGTATTAAAGCACTGCTCTGTGGCCTTCAGTAACATTTCACACTGGATCCGGCCGGGAAGCGTCTCAAATAAACCTACGAGGGGAAGAGGGCAATGAATCAGGGATGGGGTGCGACAAGAGGGAATAATACATTTCAGACGGAGAGTTAGGGGGGGCGAGCACAGGCCGTACAATCTGAGCAGGCAGCAACACCTAATTCTGCAAACTTCCTAAAACCGCTTTCCCCTTTTTGTCTTTTCCCCCCCAGTGAGGCAGGCAGGACCTTCAAATCAGAAAAGTTCTACATCTAGGTAACAAAAACGAAGAACATGCATACTGTATGGGGGGGAGATACGCTTCTGATTCTAATTCTGCAAACTTCCTAAAACCGCTTTCCCCTTTTTGTCTTTTCCCCCCCAGTGAGGCAGGCAGGACCTTCAAATCAGAAAAGTTCTACATCTAGGTAACAAAAACGAAGAACATGCATACTGTATGGGAGATACGCTTCTGAACAGCAGTGTGTGTGAACAAGATCTTGGGGTACGGGTGGACCAAAAATTAAATATGAGCAGGA